ATCCTGTCTCTCCACTGACTGTGTATGCAATCTTCAGTCACCTCTAAAATTCACTTTATGTTCTCTCTGAACACCTGGTGTTGCCAACAGCACAACAGCAACTGGATTGTGAAGTTGTGTGGGCTGTGTATGTTTTTCTGTGTATGTGTATATACTTAACAGCCAGCCATGCAGAGAAAACATGCTAAATACTGAATAACAAAACTACAATCCGTCCTATTGGCAACCAGACATATACACATTTCTGTCTGTCACATGCACTAAACCGATGACCTTTCAGTCAGCACGATACCCAGGTGTTGCATGAATGGATAAATGTGGTTTAATTCTCCTCATATGTCAGTTGTTGTTTTTTTAGTATAAATTCTGGCAAATTGCAGTGATTTGCAGTCATACATTTGTCATGCACAAGTTTCCCCTCTGGCTCCAGCAGACATTCCTCTCTCAGCTGGCACTGTCGTGGCAGCGCACAAATGCTAGCGCCTGAGACAACCGGATATCTCCTGGAGAGGGCCAGAGGGGTGTATGTGTTTCTGTGGACTTGTCACTCTTGCTTGAGTGATGTTGCCGTGAGATGAAGCGCCATGACTGTTGCCCTCTATCACGGAGGTATGGCACAGAATCCAGACTAGCATGGAGGCATGGTGAGTGTATGAGTGTGTGTGGATGGGTTGGCAGACACCAGATGAGGGGGGAGTCATGGCCTTCAGATTCTCTCACACTAGCAAACACAAACATTCATATCCAACAACAGTGAGCATGAATGGCCATTCAGCTCCAGCCAGCAGTATGAAAACAAGTCAAAAGGAGGAAGAGAAGGAGGAAAAGGGGGTGGATAGAGGATGGGGTCTTTGGCCAAAAGAAACATGGTGGGCTCGTCTGTCCGCCTCCCTGTCCTGATGAGCACCCCAGGCAAATATTCGGTGAATGAGAGCATATTCTGAGGGGCTATGCTTCCATTTTGCAACGGAGAAAAATGAGGAGGAGATGGTGGAGAGGTGACTCATCCATGATGTCATATGAGATGAAAAATCTCTATGTGCATAAGAGAACATAAATCTTTGCCTGATTCTTGGTCTGCTATGTCCGTTACTGAAGGTACAAGTGTTGGTTAAGTGCTCACTCAACTTTTCTTTGCTTCTTTTGCATGTTCAAAGAAAATTCTTCTGTGAGCCCTTTAACAGTGATCAAACAGCTGCTGCATGGTGCGAATGTGAGTAGAGTATTTTGAAAGTTATATTTCTTTATGAAACCAACCCCAATATTTTTTTATATTCATGGTCAGCATTTCTTCAGCAATAGCATTTCAATGTATTTATAATCTGGAATTATCTCTCTATATAGCTGTTTTAATTAGCTCCTTTTACACAGAGATCTCAGCAAACTGCTGGTGTTTTGACTCTCCTTCAAGGTGGCTTTTTTTTATTAAAGCCTTTTACATTGATCGTGAAAAGCTGGCAAACTCCTGCTCCTGTGTTCATTTTACAGAGCTACCAAAATCTTGGTAATAAAGGCATGATGCCAATCGTGTCATGTGGCGGTCCGTGCACTTAACGGCCAATTTGAAAATGAAACAAATGGGCTGTTATCTGATTTTATTTGATATATTTAAAAATGGAAATCAGGACTTGGAGTAGCCTACTATGTGCAGGGCAACACACACACGCATGCACATGCACAAGGTGCACAGCAGAACAGACAGAAGTGTGCATTTTGGCACACAAAGGCGTCCCTATAGGTTTGTGCAGAGGTGTGGCAGTGTGCATTTGTGCTTTAGAAAGTAACCGCAGTGTATCTTTTACACAGACCAGTGAGGCTGGTGGAAACCTCCCGCATTGAACAGGCAGAGTAAAAGGAGCCATAGTTTAGTGGTGCAGCTTGTCATTCCTCTACAGAAGTGCCTACTTACACACATTTATTCATTAACAACAGATTGGCTTTTTGCTTTTCTTTTATAAAAACAAGATACAAGATTTTAACTTGTGAGCTTCCAAGATGCAGACAGCTTTTTTTCATTTGGTCATAACCAGGCTAACCTTTTCCCAAATATGTCTGGTCTTTATGCTATGTTACACTAACCAACTGCTGGCTTTAGCCTTTTTTAATAGACAGGCATGAAAGTGGTGTCAATATTCTCATCTAACTCCCCGACAAGAAAGCGAAAAAGTGTATTTCCGAAAATGTTCAACCCTCGCTTTAACTGACCAAACTCAGCACAGCTACAGAAAAGGAAAAAAAAGTTTAGAGTCCACCTTGTTTTTATTCCGCCATTGTGACATAAAGCTTCATTTTAATAGTCCTGATTGAAAACCTATAATAATGCCTGTTTTCCTGTGATCACTCACTGTCTGTACTTTGTTAGCAGCTACTGCAATAACCAGGCTGATGTGAGACACCGAGTCAGAACACGTTGTTTTGATCTCTGGCAGCAAACCCACATAATGAGGTGACGTTATGATCAAGGTGAATTTATGCTCATTGAACATAACAGCCTTCATTTTGTTTTTTAAATTATGAGCCACGTCTTTCTAAAACTCCAGTCTGACATTTCCTCAGCGTCTCATGTGGCAGGTAAGCTGTTAAGTGAGGGGTTTTATGAAGTTTGTTTTGGATGTCACCAAGGGTTTAAATGACCTCTGAAGTGGCAAATAATCACAGTAATGAAGCTGATGCGGCTCAGTGGCTACAGCTGTTTGACCGGAGGATATTGAGCTGGACCCTTTTGGCTGATATAGTTTCACAAGGCAAGGTGGCACAATGGAAAACGATAGCAAAAAAAGTCAAAGCATCAATGGTAAATGTTCCTGAGTAAGGGTTACTGAGCCAGCACTTTGCACCAGTGTTCAGCAATGACTAGAAAGTCCAATGATGACATAGTATACAAAGTCAAAACACATACATCATGGCCACAAAGGCAGCGGACTGATTAGACTGATTAGATTCTATAACTGGTTTTTATGCACCTCTTTTAATACATGTGCAATTTCTGCATAGAAATAGCTGAATGGGCAAAAAAGCTTGAAATATCATGGGATAGTTGGTGTACATACAAATGTATTTGTTATGTTAAATTTATTTGATCTCTAATTTATACATGTAAATCTCCTTTGAGTCTGGATGCAGGAGACAAAGCCTAAAATGCAATCCTGCATACTATGTCAGTTTATTGTCTCAGCAGCACATTTTGAACAAGGTTTGTATTCAGACAAAATGTGGATGATTTTACACCCAGTAGATTCCAAAAAACCATAAATGTAGCCTTTATCTGGTTATGTTCATATTTTAACAGATATAAATGTTGCAACGCAGACTATTTCTTCTAATGTGCCTACCTCGAGGGTCAGATCCTGCTATGTCCTCTGTCCCTGCTTGCCTGCAGTGTGTCCTGCAAATACATAATAATATGACACATAATAAAGATGCAGTTAACCTCAAACAGAAATCAGGTTCATCTTCAAATGTTTTCACTGATGGATAATATCACTAAGCCACAGTATGATCTTACCTGAGGCCCTGTGGTTTCACCTGAGTCTCCTGCAGTCTCTGCTCTGCTACCCATGTGTTCCTATTAAAATGAAATGATACTGAGAAACAAACCTCTCATGTAAAACTTCCTCTACTTAAAAGATGTATTCAACAAGCAAATGGTAGCGAAAAGGCTTCTCCTCAGGGGAAGTGGCAGGTTAGCTGCCGACAGTGCTGATTATTTAAGTTAGGCAAAGAATGTTCACATTCTCAACATGAACTTTTCACTACTTACACTATTTAAGTTCTGACTCTACGTAAAAACTCTTCTTACTGTATGTCCATCTCCCATTTTGCAGGACATTAACAAAAACAATATCTTAGCTAGTTGCTAATCACAGCAAAGGACAACAAGCGAATACCTATGTTAATCAGTTTGAAAAAAGTTGTTTCATAGTTCTAAATGATAATTCTCATACGGTACCTAATCAACAAAAAGTGCTGTTTGTCATGATGCAGAAAATTAAACATGTGAGTATTTTCTGATCTTATAAGGTTTGGCATATAAAACTAGGTTAAGAATAGCAAAAGACCATGCCATTTAAAAAAAATGCACATGTTGGTATTTGTATCATGTCATGCCCCTTGTGCCACCAACCAGCTTCCCTGAGCCCCTAAGTAATTAGGTGGCACTATATGGCACTTCTTTCAGGGTGCCAAATCCCCAGGGGTTGGTTGGTAATGCAGCCTTGGCTACATTTCTTCTTCGCTTTAAGTGAGACCAGTCTTGTGTCAAAATCTGTTCCCCCATCACGATGTTTCCTCCAGTTAAAACTGTGTTTCTAGTAGCACCCCTCTGTGGTCATGGTTGGGTTTAAGGTTAGGTTTCAGATTAAAGGAAATACTTCTCTGGGGGAACAGATCTCGACACAACACCGGTCGTTGTTCACATTCCACAGGACATTGCCTCTCAAGAAAACATAAGCAGTGGCTGTTTTAAGTGCCTGGTCAAATGATTAATGTTACATTTTTGTTAGCTTACACTAATGTTAGCTCCTCTGTTAGAGCATATAAAGTGTAATTCTACAAAAAGAGGAATGATTTGCAGCTAGTTATGAAACCCACAGTGAATTAGGCTTAATCATTACCAGTGAAAAGCCCATGTCTGGATGATTTGGGTAATAACACGCTACAAGTCATATCTATTTCTTTTTATTTTCTATGTTACTCTTTGCAGCTTCCAAACTTCTCTTAAGATCTGAGTGTCTGACTTTGATGGCTTCACACTTCATTGCTTGTCAGTGATGGAGTTGACTGATGGACTGATTTACCTTTACTGTAAATATATTGTCACTTTCCTTGGAAGCTGTTGTGTTCTAAAGGTTGCTGCTAATATACTTCTGAGCAGCTCACAGAAAGGGCTGCATGTTGGCTGTGCGCTCCGAGGCGTCACCATGTGTCACTCAGCAGCAGTGCTTCATGTATGCGTCCTTCCCCGTTCTCCTCCCATTGTAAAAACAGCTGTAGACCGCGAACCGTTGAGTGCGGACTGACACCGAACACCTGGCCGGCTACCTAGCGAAAAATAAGAGTTATTCTTTCATTCTCTCGGGTTTTCATTTGTTTGTTTGTTTGTTTTTTAACAAAACATAGACATTTTCTCCAAGGTTCTTATGAATGGAACGGTTTCCACGAACATCAGCCATGATCAACCGGGTTTTCCATATTCTGCATTTATTTCTGATGCTGGAGACCAGCTGGGGTACGCTCGTATCTGGGGATCTGGATGAAGCCGTGCGTCAGGGTGCCGATGTTGTACCCGGTGTAGAAAAGTACGTCTTTGCGCACGAAATCGCAAACCGTGATATGGTCTCCATCAATATGTTCAAAGTGTATGAGAGGTACAGCAAAGAGCCGCAGAGCCACAGAGATGGAAACACTGTGAGAAGTTTTAAAGCTGTCCAGAGTGAGTGACCACACGACTTTATTTCTTCCTTTACAAAGTTACTGCACTGAACAGAACCGGTGTCCGGATTATCCAGCCACAATGAAATCCTGTTTACTGCTGATGCTTTACATATAGGTAGGGAAGTCGAATTGCATGTTTCAAACGTCGGTTCATTGTTTTACACACATTTCATTACTCTCTGCTTCAAAAATTCAGATTAAATGTCCTTCAAGTTTCGTTTATTTTTATGAAGTAACCAATATTAATTTGTTAAGAAGACCGAATAAATTAAGGATGTATTGTTGGCTGCTTTTTAGGCATACTTGTGTGTGACTCAGATCATAATAGCGGAACACAAGCAATTAAAAAATAAATCTTTATGCCTAGCAAGCTGCTTAAACATTAAACAGTACAAGATGAATCAGCATAACAGCCAGTTCTTCAGTTCTTCAGTTTGCCCTACATTACCAGTCAAACATTTCCCATTCAGTTCACTGAGAAAGTGTGTCCAACCTCTTGACTGGTAGCGAATCCTTGAATGCAGCTCTAGATTAACTGCTGTGTATAGTATCATCTAAATACACTTAATGGCCACTTTACACCAGAACAATTGAATGCAATTCAGTGCAAGGCTTCCAATAACAATATAATGTAGTCCAGTACAACACCACCTTTTACTGTGGCCTCAATAATAAACATATAATTGAATTTATACATTTATGACCATTTCACCAAAAACTGAAACATTCGGAGCGTCATAAACACAGATGTGTAGGCAGAAATGTTGCATTGAATTTAATACAATTGTACAAGTTTCCCTAATAAAGTGGCCAGTGAGTGTATGATTTTTATTCTTCCATTATGAGGTGTATTTTATTTATGATTGTTCCACATTTCATTGCAAATCAACCTTTTACAGACTGAAGATGAGTGACTTGGAAAAAAAAAGATCTGATTTTAATTATTTCATCAGCAGGACATCCTAAACATCCTTAGTGCAGGTGTTTTGCCAGTCACACAGCATCTTTCACTTCCCCTTGGGTTAAACGTCCTCACCTCTGTGCTTTGACAGTGTTGTGATTTACTGAACTGGGGGACTGTTTAAAGTCTTAAATGCTGTTGTTCCCCAGTAGCTTTAAGGTGTAAGACAAGGGCCTATTATCACACCCAGGCACCGGCTACACACTGAAAGGCCTCAGAGGAGCTCTTTCTTCTATAAGCATTTCCATATGCCTACGACAGACCTACAGGACTGATCCGCTTTGTCTTTCAGGCTGTGGTGGAAGACAAGAGTATAGAAGGATCTAGGTGAGGTTACTGGTCATGCGAGCAGCAGGTATTTGATTGTGCTGTGCTTAATATTGACCTGCTGCTTGTGTAAGTCAGATGTGTTGAGAAACATCGTGCAGAAGATTTACTGGATGCTGTTATTTATGTCAGTCAACAGGGGAGGGGGTGGGGGTTCAAGGCAGCAACTTCATCACTTTTGTCATCTTTATTGTTCATTTCATAAAGGGATGCTCCCTCAGGACTTCACATCTGTTTAATAAAACACATAAACTAGCAAGCATCACTATTTATGAATCTATTTAGAAATTATTAGAACATTTTGAAAAAGCATGGATGAAAGACAGGATGAAAATAACATTGTTTTTCTCCAGTTTCTTGCAGGGTTTAATAACTTGAACTTGTTTTACCGATCATCTTTCTTCTTTTCAATTCCCCCAGGAGTTCTGCACGGTAAAGAAGTGCTCCAGTTCAACTTGTCTTCCATCCAAGAGTCAGAGGTCATCCTCTCTGCCTCTTTTCACTTCCTTTACAAGCGCCACCACCAGCGACTGTGGCATTTCCGAAGGCCCCGCCACCCATCCAGCAGCTTCCAGCATCTCCATCCTCCCTCCCCGCAGCTCCTCTTCCACGGATCATCACCAAACACAGCTTTTGCACGACTGCTGGGAAACATAACTCTGGCTCCTTTCAAGAAAGGCTCTTGGCAAACACGGGATGTCACAGCAGTGTTGAAACATGCCAAAGATGTCAAAGAGCTTGTGGTAACAGTGGAGTTTGATATGGGGTTTAGGGAGCCTTGGGCACATCAGAAGCGCTCTCATGGGCAAGAGCATTTCTCTCCTGCCAGCCTGCCGTATATCTTGGTATATGCAGAAGATCAAGTTATAGATGAGCCAAACAGTGTGGCCATGTCACTTCAGCGGTATGGGCCTTTCCATGTAGGAGATGACGCATCCTCCTCTACCTCAGCCTCAAGAATCAAGAGGGAACTTCATCTTGAGATCCAAACCAATGACATCCCAGAAGTCCAGTTCAGCACTTTGAAGAATCATGAACTGTGGCAGAACACATATTACCCGGCAAAAGCCAAAGCAGCAGTCAAGTTGGTAAGGAGGCAGGGCCAGGAGAACAGCAAGGGCCTGAGTAGACCCCAGGTGCTGAGCTTTGATGAGCAGACAATGAAGAAGGCCAGGAGGAGACAGTGGAGCGAGCCCAGGGTTTGCTCCAGGAGGTACCTCAGGGTGGACTTTGCTGATATCGGTTGGAGTGAGTGGGTTTTGGCACCAAAGTCATTCGATGCCTACTACTGTGCTGGGACATGTGGATTCCCCATCCCTAAAGTGAGAAACTTTTATTACAGGACCTGTTTTTGGTAACCTTAGAGATCACAGTTGAATTTAGATTTAAAAACACACAGCTAATTGCTTAAATTGTCCCTCATTCCATTTGTTAGGACCTTACTGTAACTGCTGAAGATAGTTACACATTTTATCATGTTGATAGTATGAAATTTTACAGGAAAGTTCTGTATTTACAGATTTGAATGACTGCTAAATAGACTGCATGCACTTTACAACATGCCTCCCATCCACCCTTTGACACACACATACACACCAATGGAACCAAACTACCATGCATGGTGCTGGCCTAACTACTGGAAGCAACTGGGGATCAACATGTGTACAGTGTCGCCAACCCTGCGATTTAATCAAACTTACACATTGATTAAAAGCTAAATGGCATGGACATATGTAGAAGTCTAGATCATTTCATTATCTGTCATAAAAAACACTTAAACCAAAAGGCAAAAGCAAGGAACAGTGGAAATATTTAAAGTATACATCAGAAATTGCAGCATCATAGATGAGGTTTTATGTTTTTACTTTTGTTTGAACATTTATCATTTTTTTTCAGGCAGTAGTAAAATTGGTTTAGATTTCTGTCTGTATTATAGCAGTTATGACAGATTTTGTGCTCAGTTGGTTTAATAATTCCTTCTGCCATCACATATTTCCTCAGGTGGTACGGCCCTCAAATCATGCCACCATCCAAAGCATCGTCAGAGCTGTGGGAATTATACCTGGCATTCCCGAACCGTGCTGTGTTCCCGAAAAGATGAGCCCTCTCAGTGTACTTTTCCTCGATCCAAACAGGAATATGGTTCTAAAGATTTACCCTGGCATGTCTGTGGATAGCTGTGCATGTCGATAGGAATGGAGACACCATCAGCGACAATGAAAAGGACATTAATGTAGACTCAGCACATAATAGGAGGGCATAGTTCAGATCAAAGAGCACAAACACGGTGAGAACAGCTGAGTACAAACTATACCTACAGCTACAGTTCTTGTGCCTCTCTTCTCTGTTTTCTTGGATTTGGATGTGGACAGATTTCATAGACGTGTTTTTCTTCACCTGGGCCAACTTCACTAATTCTTCCCCCTTATCCAAAAGCAGGGTAAAGTGTACTTATACACACCTATGTATGTACTGTAGTAGTCCTAAAGTTTCAATGCATTGACTGACTGTACGATGAAGTAGAAATCTCCTGCAGATTGATCGTCACCTCTCATAAGCTTTTCGGTCCTTTATCAGCACATTATTCATATTTTGCCCATCTAAATATTGAACAAGATTTTATTTTCTCTAATCTGAGCCTGGACTCACACTTGGTTTTGGAATTGGATCCTTCTCAATTAAGCTCAGTGTGTGAGTTTTAGCCATTTCTGAACCCATCAGGACCTTCTTTTGTCTGTGCTGTCTTTGAGACTTCAGAACTGAAGTTTGGACAAATGGATCAACTGCACATTAACTGGCAAACCCAGGAAGGGTTTGGACACAGAGTCTGCATGGCAGCACATTCACATGCTACCAAATTAACCAGCCCTGTAAATAAATACTCTAAAACAAACAAAACTGTGCTTATGTGAGAGACACTTTAATATCATCGAATGGCACCCATATATTAATAAGAAATGTTATTCATGCATGAGAGGTAATATCATCTTTGAACTAGATTTCATCAGCCATTTGTTTATATCTTGTATATACGGTAGCAGCAAAGAGAAAATGAATGATGCATTGCTGCCACCTGCTGTGCATTTTTGGGAAAGATTAATGGATTTAAACATTTTAACTCAAAGTTAAAGTCCTTCTTCAGTTTTTCCCTTTAATATTATATATTCAAAATAACATGTACAGTTTGTATTATGTACAGTAATGACAGCAAGTTTCCATTCTAACTAAAATGGATAAATGTATCCACCTTTTTATAAGTAAACACACATACATATGGCTTAAATGTCATTAATTAATAGCATAATGGGTACTTTAGCAAAACACAGATGATGTATAATGTATGGTTGGTATGGAAAATAAAATTTAGGTTTTACATAAAGTGTAGACTG